TATCAAATATTTTCTTAACATAATACAGTCTTAGTAATTTTATGTATCAAATTTACCTTTGCTAAAAGTTTAGCTCTGTGGGAAATATACATGACTGCAGTTTGTTTTAGAAAGGAAATATTGCATTTGTAAGAAGGAATTATGAAATAATGATATGTGGCTATCATTTATGATGAGAAATATCTGTATACTCAGCTTAAATATTTAAAATAATCTCAAACCAGTTTACATTGTAATGTTTCAAATTTGTCTGAGTATTAATACATTTTTTTGCATTCAGTGCATGGAAAACTTAAGCTATACACTGATATTACTGTATTGTAGAGACATGCTACTTTGTTACTTTTTTTTTCAGCAAACAGACTCCGGCCATTTAATCTTGAACAGTTCAAGTTTATTAATTCTTTATATTGTTTTGGAGACATTTTACACTAGTTACCGAAAACGAATACCATTTCTTTTCTGTTCCTAGTTTTATTATGACCATTTTATGCTTCATAATGTAGAGTTATTTCTTTGACTTTTATTATAACTGGAAGTAGCATCAAAACCCTGCACTGTTGTAACACTCCTATGCCATAAAACCAGCAATGACCTGCCACTCCAAAAAGGAACAGATGGTAGGAGAAGATGATGATTATGTAGTATCCAGACCAGCAAACACCAGCAATGACCAATAATCGCTGGTTACTGCTGATCAAGCAGTAAGTAACAATCATCTGTAGTGAACAGCGATGACCAGCAGCAATCATCTGCAGCAATCATTGATGATCACCAGTGATCAGCGATCATCTGCAGTGACCAGTGACAACCAGCAGTGAGCATCAGCAGTGACAACCAGCAGTGAGCATCAGCAGTGACAACCAGCAGTGAGCATCAGCAGTGACAAGTGACCACCAGCAACCAACTGGTTCCTGACAACCACAACTTCTACTGATCCACTTGGCAATTCAGGTTTCACTCCCTGCTGCTCATCATCTTGTGGATCACCAGTGATTTCAACCACCTGCCCTGGGCCATTATTCCCACCTGGTACCAACTGTCTATCAACCCTCAGCACCACTTAAGTTGCTCCAGTCATCATCAACTGACAATGCATCTAATACCAACAGTTAACTACCAACACAACCTTCTGGGTATTTAAAACATCTGGATTCTTCAATTATATTTTTCTTCCAACAATAAATTTTGGCATATTTCATTGAAGTTCAACAGTCAAAGATTTTACTACTTGTGGATCCACTAATAGTTTGTATTGAACTACGTACTCATGGTGTGCCTAATGCTTTTAGTGTAACTACCAGTGTAATGCTTTAGTGTAACTACTTTCTTTACATTAATATAAGCAACATTCAGGTTTTTATTAAACTTCCCAATTTTATTTTTTTTTTGTTTTAGCTTTCATTTTATTGGTAGAGAAAACTTTTACACTTACAATAAAAGAATAACCTTGTGGTAAACTGATCACCAATTTTGAAATACATTTTCCAAATTGGTATTTAGCTACAGACAACTTTATATTGCTTTTTGTATATCATAAAGAGTTGAACTTAGGTTAATAGCAAGTAAAAAGAAGAAAAATATTGTAGTTTTCTCATGAACTGTATATAAATTTGTAATTGGGTAAATGACTATTAAGATATTTGAATTACAATGTGTTCTATTTGTAAATTGAAAAAAAGCAATGTGAAATTTCCATGTAAACAATGACATTTTAAAGATTATAAAAAAAGATGCCTCCTGGATGCTTGAAAAGACAATTTTGTGAGTGATATTTTCATGAGAAAATGATTAAACATCTCTCTCCCATGTGTAATTGGCATCATCATATATGATGGAATATTTAATAAAGGAAATGAAAAATATACACAAAAAAATTGAAGTATAAAACTAAACATTTTCCATTAATTTTCAAAGTAATCAGATCATAAATGAGTCTATACCCTTCAGCGCTTTCCAAGTTTTGATTGCAATGATCAAAAGTTTCAATAATTTTTGATTAAGGAAATTGTATTTTAAAGGTTAGAGGAAAAGCTAGAAAGCACATTTCTGATTTGTTACCACAAAGGTATAGAAAATTCAATCAAGTCTAACCTACAATCTTACCTGCAATATTTTATTAAGGTGTACTGTTGTTATCTGAGACAAAATCCACCAGAATGATACAATTTGGAAAGCTCTTGAATGATAGTCATGTAAACATATCTAATAATGGTGCTAATAAGACACAATAACAAACATGACATTATAACTCAGACAGATGACTCCTATTAGACTTGGCCAAAAGAATTTGTATAGGATTGCACTGTCAATGAAAGTATATAAGAGTGACTTTGAAAAGAGCAAGTGTTTTGATAGGTATAAAAGACCCTCATTTGTTTATTTGTATCAATTTCACACAGTTCCAATTGGCTGCTTGACTATTTTTGCTTTTATTAATTTGGCAAAGTTTGGCCAAAATGGATAAATGCAAACTTAGCATTACCAGTCATTAATAAAAGACTCATTTTGCCATCAGAAATGCAGCAACTCCCAAATAATATTAATTGCCTCAGATTATTTTTACTGAAACCTGGCATTGTATGAAGAACAGTTATGTTCCTTGATGTCTAGAATAGCTAATTAGATAATACAATTACTCTGAGCGCAAATAAATCCTATGTTTATTATGATGATTTTAGTAAATGGAATAACTAAAAAGAATAAGTAAATATGCAAATACAAGAATAAAAGAAGTAAAATATCTGAATATATATTTTCATTATTCAGCTGGTATTTTTTATTATTTTGACAACACTGAAAGAAATTACAGAGAAAAGAGCTCAAAAGCTATTCATTCATAATATATAGATAGAAAATAGTTGAATATTAAGCATTCATGCTATAATAAGATAGACTGATTGTAAAGATATTTGAGGTTTATCTCCAATGGGAGTAGTTATTTTGGCTTAATCTTTATGAGATTCATTGCCATATATGAAGCAATTCATCTCAAAGAATGTGCAGACGTGAATCTAGCAGAGAGTTCTTTGAAGAAAAATTTTTGGTCACAACCTGTCATTCTCTTAAATGTCTTTTCTGTCATGAGATATAAATAGAAAAAATATATTCTGAATCAATTTAATAATAATGTAATAACTGAAAATATTTAACATTTAAGAGAAATATAATTTCAATTAGGATTCATAAGAAGTTATCAAAGAATATTAAAAGAAGATGTCTTTTATTATCATATTAAAGAAATGTAATGAAATATGTTTAAAAAAACATTTATTCCCCATATACAAACTAAGCACAAAATCTGGTTCATGGAGTGCCAAGTTAGGATTAAACTTACTGACTTGTGAAATGTATTAGAAGTAAAAGTGCTTTACATTTTGATAGTTGATGCAGTGGTGTAGTTGGGTAAATATGATAGATTTGATGTTTTGTTCCTTTGTCTTATGTTATGATAACCAAAAGTCATGTTTTATTCTCTTGAAAATTCAAATTCTCAGTATTATTCACTCATGTTGTAAATAATAATAGCAATTGGCATACAATTGATTTGCTTTCATTTCCAATATTTGAAAGACTTTACAAGTGAAAACAATGTATTGTGGAATTAAAAACTGACCTTTGAATATTTATTTGTGTGCTAATTTGTATGTTTATTCAATTAATCACAAATGAAAATATAGAATTATCTGGAATCATATAGTCTTTGCCATTTACATGAATCCCATCATATTATATCTTTTGCTGTTTCAACAATCTCTATCATTTTATAAGAGTTGCTTTTTCAACATCACCTTAGAATGTTTATCATCAACATTGGAATTTTATTCACTGTCACTATCACTGAAAAACAGCTTCATTATCATCATCATCACCACCACTACCACCACTACTTTTTCTAGTTTACCTGGGATAATATTTTCAAGTTTTGTAAATTGCACCTATAATCTTGATGAGTGTATGTACAGATTTATATTATTTTTCGAGTTACTGTAACTAATTTAATTAAACTTTGCATGTATTTATTGTATTGTTAAATGTTCATTAAGACATTACATATAGCAAAAAGACAAGTAAGATAGATTTTTGTATACTTTAAAAGTTTCTGTTTTAAAACAAATGCATTCATATTAACTAAAGCAAATGAGTGAATGAAAGCCCTTGTGGCAAATAAAAATGAAAATTAGGGCTTCCTTCTCTGATCTTTTTGAAGGCTAAATAAGGGGTATATTACAGGTGAAGAGTTGTTTCTGGGTTGGATTTCTTTACAGTGTTCTAAGGGCCATGTGTTGTATATTATAAAATGTGCTGCCAGCATCAGTTACGCAAGAGTTAAGAGCTCAGAAGCGACAGTTCAATAAGATCTTGCCATCTGTTATGTCAGTTGTGAGGATGAAAGAAATATGAGAAAAAAAAATTAAAAAAGAGAATGAAAACTAATGAGAAAGGATGTAAATAAAGAGAAATAGGAAGAAAAAAGAAGAAATATAGTTGGAAAATTAGTAAAAAAGAAAGAAAAAACTAGAGCAAAAAAGTAAAAAAAGAAAAATAAAGCAAAAAAAATTGATTAAAAAGTAAAGAAAGAAAAGAAAAAAGAAACTAAGATGATTAGGAAGAAAAGGGTAGAAAGAAAGAAGAGACAGAAAGAAAGAAGAGACAGAAAGAAAGACATTGCCAAAGACAGCATAAAAATAAAATATTTGTATGAAGATGAGTTGATGAAATAAAAGAGATAAAGTGGAAAGAAAATCATAAAAATATGAAAGAAAAGGTATTAACTAATTGTGAAAGAATGTTAAGAAACAGATTTTTCACTCATTCTAATTTTTAAGTAGAGTGCCAAAAATTAGACACTGCCTTAATAACATGTAGCTCCTCCCTTTACTTGTACAACAGTGGCTGTTATGATATGCCATAGTATGTGATTGATTGTTTTTTACAGATTATCAATCCTTTGTGGGTTATTTAAAGCTAAAACATATTTCAGATTATAAGCGGTTGTTTACAGTCCCAGCTGTTCCCAAGTGGAACCCCATCTAAGTAATGACTGGGCTTGATATGGATTAACTTTGGTGATCGAATGAGAACCAGTGTTTTCAGTATCATTTGAGATATGTTATAGAGTTTGACTTGCAAGAGTCATTGTATATCTTATCAAAAGTGTCCTATAGTTATGTGAAAATGAATTGTGCTAATTGGGTGTAGCAACAATAAATTTAGTGAGGTTTGATCAGTGGAGTTTAAGTCTGGTAAGTACCAGAGCAAATGGAATACATGAAAGTTAGCTGAATGTTCCTAGAAATAGTTTTGTCACCTGTGTATGATGGGGAGGGAATTATGTTATCTTGCTAGAAGGGAACATGGGGATGTGGACATGTTAAAAAAAGAAAATCTGTGTATGTTATACTTGTCAAGATAGATTCCAGTTTCGTTAGTAGCACTTGCAAAATCTGACAAAAATACATCCCACCATTATAAAACTAGTTTGTGCAACATCCTGCAGACAAGTTGACTCCATTGTCCCATGTGGTCTCCTCCATAAACAAATTTAAATCTCTGTATGAAAGTGCTGAAACATGACCTATCTGACCAGGTAATACAATTCCAGTCTTTGAGGATTTAATAGTGATATTTTCTGGCCCAGGTGAGATACAGTAACCAATGCTATAGTGTCAATAATAGTAACCGTGAAGGTCAATGACAATGAAAATCATGAAATGCAGTATATTCTAGACATTCTATTGACTGATGAGTTGAGCAGTGACTTCATTGAATTGGGATTTGATGTGATACAATATTTCCTCTCATTAAATGATTACCATCTTTTGACAGTTTACTAGTGATCACATCCTTGCATCACATTGGGATGTCCACAGTTTTCACATGCCATTGATGCCCATCTGAAATTCATAGTATATCTTTGTGACTGTTACTTGAGAAAAATCTTGTGCCCTTGCCACTTGGGAGATAGATTTCTCAATCTTTTCTTTCTGGATCCAATAATCATTCCACATTAAATAATAACACTTCTCTGATTTCCAAAGCTTATTACAGCTACACTGCCTTTTTTACCTATTAGATCATTCATGTTATTTTCTATGTGTGGAATGAGGAAATCATCTAGTGTACTGCTATATGAATTCCAATGTTTAATTACTTCATCTTCAGATCTGTATAACTTTAATAAGAAGTTAACAATAAATAAATCAATCAGCTACAACCAATTATATAAAAAAGAAAAAAAGTAATAAAGAAATGAAATCAAAAATGAGGAAACAATAACAATAAAAAGTTAAAACCAGGAGGAAATAAAATCAGTTTAGATAAAATATATTTATTATGTGAACTAAACACAATTCTTTCCAAAGAGTTGAAAATAAAAATTTTAGAAGTGGAAATTATCAAAGGTTTAAACCATATCCAAGTTTAGCTAGCAGTAACAAAGATCTTGGATTGTCATGCCTGCAAAAAAAAACAATGTCAAAGGATGTTTTTTTTTCACTTGGTACCATTATTATTTTAACTACCTTCACTCCTTGGCAATGTTTATTGTTTTAAAAAGTGTTGATTAGAATTATAATAAGCCCTAAACATATGAAAATGAATTTATACATTTTCTTTTTGCTTGAGAATTGACAATGAAAATAATAAACCCTATTTATTTATTACATTGTTTATTTACATTATTTATTATATTATTTATTGGAATTGCCAATCCATTCAAATTTTATGAAATGGTAAATAATAAGGATTTTCTGATAATTGGTTCATGTATTTTAATAATTTAGTAAATGTTCATAAATTTATTAGCAAAAATTGTTTTATATTTCTTTCTTTATAAATTGGTAAATGATAAATATTACATTGCATTAGTTCTAATTGTATTAGTTTTTAGATAGTTGTAAATAAAAAAGATTATTCTTGGAAATAAACAATCTAATAAATATATAGTGTTTAATATTTTTGTTGTAAATTTTCACAACAAAAAATGTATAAATTCACTTTCATCATATGCTTAAGTTTTATTCCAATTCTAATCATTGTTTTTGTCAAGGGAAAAGCTGTCCTTTTGACATTATATATTTTTGCAGACACAAAGGTCGAAGTTTGCTGAAGATGATTATTATATTAAAGAATTCAAGAATTTATGGCAATTATATGGTGCACTTTTATAATTTAGTAAAGAACAAAGTATTTCATGTACTTTAATTATAGAAAAATAACAGAAATTATATTTATTACACTTCTATAAATGTATGCTTGATAAACAAATACAGACTTAATTTTCAGAAAATTTGATTAAAAAATCTTAGGAGAAACATTTTCTTTTACTTTTCATATTTTTTTCTTTTTTTAGTTATTTTTAGAATTTTCTGACTGTGGAAGAAGTATTAGAAAATTGTCTCTTAGTAAATACAGGTTGTAGCATAGATAGATAGATAGAAATAATGGTTTAGAACTCAGTATTATTTATTGTTATTCCATGGACGAGACAAAGCTTTTCCATTAATGAATCTTTGTGTAATAATACGATTTGTAAGATTAGAGTCAATGTTTCAGTGAGTAGAGCAGAAATACTGGAAAATTTATGGAGGTAAGTAGTTAGGTATAAGTAAGTAGATTAATATATAAAAGTAATAGCTCCTGTGTACTTTAATGGTGACAAGATAGAAAATGGAATTGGTAGGCCGAGTTTGAATTCTGGTTGAAGCTGTTTATGCTCACTTTGCACTTAGAAAAGCATGAATCCACTCCTCCCTTTAAATTGTTCTACAACCAGATATTTTGATAAAATGTCTTGTCACTAGTATGCCACAATGGCAGCTATAGAAAACTGGGTAAATGAACACTTGGAAAAACCACTCTCTCACTTATCTTACTAATATAGGTAGTAGACTAAAAAAGATTGTCTACCTTGAATAATGGATCAATAAAAATAATTATTTACTTTTTCTAGTCACTGGTATGCCATAATGGCAGATATAGAAAATTGTGGGTAAGTGAGCACTTGGAAAAAACACTCTCCCAATTGTCTTATCTAGACAGTAAACTGTTTTTACTTATATTGTCTACCTCAGATAATGGATCCATAAAAATAATTGTGATAATAGCAACAGTTTTAAATTATTTGATTTTCAAGATTTTATTTTCATTATTATTTTTAGACTAGCCTTTTCCTCATCATATTGTTGCAATTTTCTCAGTTGAATATACTCCAAACATTAAAATTATTTGAAGTCAAGGTAACTTGAACCCATGCATCACATAGCCAAAGAAAGGCTTTTCTTTCATCCTAACTAATTTTCTGATGGAAGCCAAGAGCTAATTTGGAGTCATATTTCTACTCACTCACTTGTGATAAAGGAGAAACAATAACAAAACAAATAATCAACAAAAAAACATGAAGAAAAAATTTTTAGAGTTTCAATAAATTGCCGTAGTAGTAGTAGGATTTGGTGCAAGTAGTAGTAAAACAATATGGTGGCAATAATTGTAGATTTGGGTTCTGTCTGTTAATATGCCTCTATATCTGGAATGGTTAAAGTGTTGTGAGGCATGTGAGGTTCTGGCATATGGAACTCAAGTCTTATTTCAAGTTACATTAATGGTTGGAGAGTATTCTGTGATACTGTCATAGAGAACTACAATGCAGATAATTTTAAGATTAGAATCTATATCAATAAAATAAGAATAATATTGATACTAAACAGGATGACATTTATTATCATTGTAAATAATGGCAATATCTACAAGAATGTTTTTTACAATTGACTATTGTCCATTTTTTTCAAAATGGTATGACAAATTTTCAAAGTAAAAAACCATAAAATATACAGAAAAGAAGAAGAAAATGATGAAAACAAAAGAACAACAGAAAGAAAGTGAATAGAAATGGCATGATAAAAGAAAGAAGAAAAAATGATGAAAAGAAATATATGAAGAAAGAAAACACTTAGATAATAAAACAGGATTGAAAGAAAAAAAAGAAAAAATTATGATAAAAAATATAAAAAGAATCAAGACGTAGTGTTGTAAGCTTCCAAGACATAAACTGATTTGAGATAATTCTCCATCCCTGTTATTCCACACCAAGTTTGATTCTGATTTTTGATTTGACTATAGTAAAATAGCAGCAACAAGACTCTTTGATTTGACATTTTTCTCTGAGAAATAGTGCGAAAAAGATGTAGCATCAAAGAATCTTGCTTCAGTCTTGGTTAAATGCAGATGTTGGGTTTTAGCACCTGCACAAAAACATTTCTCTCCAAAGAGTGCAACCACTAGCTACATAAATAAGGTATTAGCATTTCTGTTTGGCAGCAGCTGCTGATGTAATTACTCACTTTTCACAGTGAAGATGTCCAGGAACATGATCTGTGGCCCGGAGAAGTTTATCTCACAGAATAAGGAGTCTGTGGAGACATATCATTGAGCTTTGAAATGAGAAGGCAAAGGAATTATTTATACTTAGTAGTTATCAACAAAACAAACAAAAACCATCAGAAAGATTGGCAATATTGAAAAGTAGGCAGATATTTCTTGAAATGAATCTTGGATTTCACTGACAAATTTAAACTACTTAAAGAACTAATATTAGATTATCTGTTCATACTGAACAGTTTTTGATTAGATGGGTTGGAATGTTTACTTGATTGAAAAAAATCTGCATTTTTATTGAGATTAAAAACTTCACAAGAAAGTAGAAAAGAAATGCATATGGAATAAGTAAACAAAATATATACAAGACAGTGGCAGGAAATGATGGAAATATTCACCCAGAGAGATTTCCTTTTGGGGTATTATTAGTAGCAGCTTAAGTGATTTTGTCATGTAAACGGTTTTCCCTTACACAGCTGTTTCCTTTATTGAGTAGCCCTTTATTTTATTCATTCTGCTTGATGGTAAGTCATAATCACACCCAGATTATGCCCAGCCTTTTATTATAGCAATTAGGTTAGTTTGGTATGGAGTATGTGTTTGATAACGTAGCTGTACTAATACCATTCTCTCATTTGGTTGGTGGGTGGGGACACATTTTCATGGCTATTAAGAAGAAAAAATTGTGACAGTTTAAACACACAAATACAACACGGTGGTAA